AAGATCTTCATACTTTGTGTCCCCTCCCATAGGTCCATCCACATGCCTCTTCCCCCCAAATCCTGTCTTCCACCTTCTAATCTTCTTCCTTTTAGGTCCCTAACCAACCAGTGAACCATTGTCCACTCTTTGAGTCTTTGTATATTCTTATCTTGGGCCACTTTTCCATGTAAAGTGGGTAACCAGCTGTGCCACCTGCAGCGTACTCACTGGGACGATGGCTCCTCATCAGTGTCTTCCAGGGCCATCCCTGGGTGCGGCTGCAATGCATCATTTTCACCCCGTACATACTACAAGCCAAATCATCCATGAAGCAAGCCCATCCGTTATCCTCCTCCAAAAGCCTCCTTGTAGCCATGTGCATGAGCCAGTGGAGAAGTAGAACATTATGTGCTGGTGCAACAGTGGAAATGATGGGGGTCTGGGTTTCCTGTTTGTGCAGCTGACTTGTGCCCTCTGGCCTTGCCCATGTCCAATGCTGGTGTATCTCTTACGTCCTACAGTGGATTGCTCTTGAGCTTCGTGACCTTATGACTTGGTGAATCTGGCAGATCCCAGTTCATAATGGGCAGTTCTTGATACATGGTCATTTGATGTCCCATGGTTAGAAGCTCTGTCTCTGCCAGGGTGTAGCATCTAGGAGCTGATTTCAAATGGTGTGTGGTTCTTCACTACAGATGGCGTGGCCTTGCTCCAGAACCCTAGCAGTCTCCGTTGTGATCTCCTGCTGGGAGCCCACTGTAACTTCCCCTGGCTTCTCTGTACACTGAGGATGCCTTTAGTACCGTAGTTTACAGGGAGGTGTGGCCCACGTGGTGGAGGGCTGCTTACCCTGCTGCCTGTATCTATCGCAGAGCTCGTTTTCGCTCTTGCCCCTCACAGATCTTGCATCCTTTTATATCGCTGGGTAAATGGCTCTGAGCATTATTCCCAAGTGTGGAATATGCTGCATCTAGGACCTGAAGAGGCCTATCAGGCAGGGGGCTTCCTTCTTAGTGGTGAGAGGTACGAGATGCCGTAAGTTGATCTTTACTTTGGAGAGGCTGTCCCAGAGCTCCAGGTCACTTGACCCCTAAACTCCTCCCTGATGTGGTGTGCTCCTCACAATTCATGAGGTTTATCTTTTACCCACTGGGGTGCATATATCTACCAAGGCCTCCAGTGTACTTGCCCTTTAGCGCTCACCAGGTGACAGCAGCAACGTGTCATTGATGTAGTGGACCAATGAGATTATACAGAATATCCAAACAGTCTGGTTTTCTTTGAATATCTTATGACAGGGTGGGGGAGTTAACACGGCCCTGAGGCAGGTGGTAAGGCGCACTCTGGTCTGTCCTGTGTGGCCGCGAGCTGCTTCTCATCCTCCTTGCTCTGTGGATGGCAGAGAACGCGCTCGCCAGGCCTGTGGCCCCGTCCAGACACCTGAGGCTCTGCTGATACGCTTCAGCAGACTTCCCACGTCTGCCACAGCCGGTACAGCGGGGCTTCTACTTGGCTGAGTTTGTGGTGGTCTGCTACCATCTGCCAGAGTCCATTTGGATTTTGTGCAGGCCAGACTCAGTGGAGATATGATGGGACCGTCAGCTCTGGTATTAGTCAGGGCTCTCCAGAGAAGCAGGACCAATAGGATATACAGAGAAGGGTTTATTTTAGGGAATTAACTCACAGAGCTGTGAGGGTTGGCAAGTTTGAAATTTGCAGGGCAAGCCGGCAGGCCGGAGACCCAGGGAAGAGTGTGTTGTACTCTTGAGCCCGAGGGCAATCTGGAGGCAGACTTCCTTCTTCCTCAGGAAACTAGTCTTTTTTCATAAGGCCTTCAACTGACTGGATGAGGCCCATCCATATTAACGGGGGTCATCTGCTACTCAAAGTCTACTGACTTAAAAAGATACCTTTACGGTAACATCTGGACTAAAGTTTAACCAAGCAACTGGGCTCCATAGCCTAGCCAAGTTGACATACAAAGTTAAACATCACACCCCTGCATCCTTCAGGTCTATAGGGGGCATTATTCTCTGCCATTCCTCCTGTGATGCGGTTTTGTTTTTTCATTACCCTTTTGGCCAGGGGGTGAGAACGGCAGCTTCAGAGGCTTCCACTTGGCCTTCTACGCTATGATAGCTCCAAAATGCTGTCTGAGAATGTGCTTTCTAGGACCACTCTTGGTACCGATTGTGTAGGATCAGGATTGGGGAGATTAGAAACAAAGACTCCATCTGATCCTGTGATGGCACTGTGGAGCTCGATGGCCCTTCCTAGCTGTCCCCACTTGGGGCAAAGAGACCAGGCCTTTGTACTCCTGCATTTTCCAGTCTTTGGATACAGGCAGCTCCCTTTGCCTGAGGACAGTTGTGGGAGGGACTCTGAGGGAGGGAGTCCGCCAACTTGCCCAGCAGCTGGCAGAATGAGTACCTTGCCCCAAAGCCAGGATGTGGTCGGTGCAACACAGCATCCACTGTCATATGCCCATATCTGCTTTTTTAAAACATCAGCCTGATTGAGATATGATTTACATACTGTAAAATTCGGTGGTTTTTAGTCTGTTTACACAGTTGTGCAACCATCACCACAATCTAGTTTTACAACATATTCATCACCCCAAAAAGAAACCCCATGCCCAGTAGCAGTACCTAGCTTCCCCTCCCGGCAGGCAGCCACTAATCTACTTTCTGACTCCGTGGATTTGCCTCTTCTAGATACTTCCTGTAAATAGAATCATAGAACATGTGGTCTTTTCCATGTCTGCTTTTAAAATGCAATTTGACTCATAATTTAACTGAATGCTTTCACTTTTGTGTTTTAATGAGAATTGAAGAGTAAGGATAATTAAAATTTTGCAATTTATTTGAACATGTCACCTAATATTTTGTCTTGGAACACATGCTTTCAAACAAAAACTCCAGTGCATTCTTTTCCTCAAGAGAAAGCAGTGGCAAATAACTGTTTTCTAATTCCTCATATTACTCAGCCATTTTGGCATTTCTAAAATTCCTGGAAGTTTCATAGGTAAAGCCTTGAAATATAAGATCCTAGTGACTAATCTCAATACTTGGCCCCAAAATATGAGTCTATAAATGTCATTTCTAGCATCTTTTACAGAAATATTCACATTTTTTGTCATTTATCTAGCCAGAGCTAAGTGGAGGTTGAATCCTGTGAATTTAGGACCATCTCCATGATAAATATGAAATATTTAGGTTAAAAAAACCTTCACCTTATTGAAGCCACTATATAATAGCATTTTCTTCTTTTTTGCATAGATTTATAGATAAAACTAGAAAATCTAGACATTGGCATATACTCAGTAAATATTTGTTGAATGAAAAAGTGGCAGAATGAATGAATTCTAATTATTAAGAAAGTTGGTCATATCTGGAAAATCCAAATCTAAAATTTAATACATTCATGTATCTATTCTTTTTGCTTACTGTTCTCTTAAAGTTAAAACCTAAACGCTTGTTGCAAGAATACGAGACAGATTCTTACTGGGAGAGTAATGTGATGACCTGCTGAGGGCAGTGGTACTGGTTTTCGCCTTGGCAGGGAGTCATATGTTTACATGATTTTGGAAAAATTTAGTTCCATGACGTAAAATATATTAGACTAGGAGTTAGGGAAGCTGGGTGTGGGCTTAGCTCTATGGATAACTTTTTTTTTTTTTTTTTTTTTTGCGGTACGCGGGCCTCTCACTGTTGTGGCCTCTCCCGCTGTGGAGCACAGGCTCCGGACGCGCAGGCTCAGCGGCCATGGCTCACGGGCCCAGCCGCTCCGCGGCATGTGGGATCCTCCCAGACCGGGGCACGAACCCGTGTCCCCTGCATCGGCAGGCGGACTCTCAACCACTGCGCCACCAGGGAAGCCCCTATGGATAACTTTTGATTCACAGGTTTCCAAGTAAAGTCTAATGCATAGTTTTATATATGCTTTATTTCTGTATTTTTCTTTAAATTTGATGTATTTTAGAATACACTGGGAACAGAAACCATTGGTATAACTTACTGCTGTTTAAGAAATAATGACAACTAAGCTTTATTGGTGCAGTTATTCATCCTCTTATTCAACCGATGTTTTTTGATTACTTACTATGTGCCAGGGGATTAAAAGTGAATAAAGATTAGTCTCTGTCATCAGTTTATTCCTACAGTTTATGAAATACAGCATGGTACATAAAAGGCCCTACAGACAGGAGACACGAATTTAGATCCCACTCTCTGATTGGCTGCATGTTACTGGCTATGTTACTTTGTGCCCCTGTGTTTAAAATGAGTACATGGGGAACTTCCCTGGTGGCACAGAGGTTAAGAATCCGCCTGCCAATGCAGGGACACGGGTTCAAGCCCGGGTCTGGGAAGATCCCACATGCCGTGGAGCAACTAAGCCTGGGCGCCACAACTACTGAGCCTGCGCTCTAGAGCCCATGAGCCACAACTGCAGAGCCCACATGTCACAACTACTGAAGCCCGCACGCCTAGAGCCCGTGCTCCACAACAAGAGAAGCCACCGCAATGAGAAGCCCACGCACCGCAACGAAGAGTTCGCCGCAACTAGAGAAAGCCCGCGCGCAGCAACGAAGACCCAACACAGCCAAAAATAAATAAATAAATAAATAAATAAATAAATAAATAAATAAAAGAAAATGAGTACTTGGGTGAGCCGGTGTGTCGATGAATTTTAGCTGAAATTTTACTTTCTTTAACTACCGGATTTAGAACAAATAGAAATTTTAAAACTGAGAGTCAAAAATTGATTCTTGAAAGAAATTTCTATTCTTAAGTACAAGTAGAATATCATAGGAAAAGAATTAACTTGTTCAAAGGAACTTAGAATCCTTAACACCTAGGCATTCAGTTTCAGAAAGGAGAAAGTCTCCTTAGCACCTGCCTAGTCTACTAGGTGTGAGTTCATATATGTTCATGTGGTTTTAAGGAGAAGCCATGTGCTTTGAATATTTATAGAATTCAAAGCACTTTCCATAGACATCATCTTTTTTTTTTCCTTAGATCGATAAAAGCCCAGAAGGACAGTTCACTCAACTAATGACATTGCCCAAAACCTTACAGCAACAAATAAATCATATTGTGGACCCTCCTGGAAAAAACAGAGATGTGGAAGAAACTTTATTACAAGTGGCTCATGACCCCGACTGTGGAGACGTGGTGCGTCTAGGTACGTGCATGAATCTGACGGGGAGGAAGTGTTGGCTGGAGGGGGTCGGGGGGAGCAAACTTTGTGGCTGAGACGGGTTCTCTATTCTTTCTTGCCTAGTGAGATGGAGAGAGAGATTTCCTCTCAGAATAAGAAAGCACTAACAGTCTGGGGTTTTCCCAACCTAAATTCTTGTTTGTTTGAAGTAGGGTGCTGAAAGTACTTCTATTTTCAGATCCCTGGGTCCTAAATCACTGACAGAGAGGGAAACAATGATTCTTTTGGTCCCAAGGGCATAATGTTTAGAAGTTATTTCAAAGACATGTGTTTGTTCCTCACGGTGGTCTGAGGAGGATGGAGACTGGTGATTTTTTTTTTTTTTTTTTTTTTTATTGTGGTACGCGGGGCTCTCACTGTTGTGGCCTCTCCCGTTGTGGAGCGCAGACTCCGGACGCACAGGCTCAGCGGCCATGGCTCATGGGCCTAGCCGCTCCGCGGCATGTGGGAATCTTCCCGGACCGGGGCACGAACCTGCGTCCCCTGCATCGGCAGGCGGACCCTCAACCACTGCGCCACCAGGGAAGCCCGAGACTGGTGACATTTTTAATGCTTTTATAACATCAAGAACACCACTCTCCTCGGCCGACGCCCCCTCGGTGTGGCTCCTGTGTGCACAGTAGGTCTGCTCCAACATGGCCCCTGTTCCTCACGTCATCCCCAATGTGGACCAAAAATCTGAGCCTGATCTTCAGAGACTTGCTGCCTTTTGAGGTGTTACAGGTAATTTACAAGGTCAGTCAGTAAGTAAGGAAATCATGAAATTGAAAATGATGCCCTCCCTCAGATGAGCGCACCGTTTACTGTTGAGTATGTATTTGCTGAGCTTCCCCAGGGAGCAGTCTGGCCACCTGGCAGGATGCAAGTCACAGTGACGGTGTCGCATGGAGAGACCTGCCCGTCGGGCAGAGCGGAGCATGTGCCTAGGGCGCCGGGTACCTCTTTTGAAGATACATGTGGAGGCGTGTCTTTTCTGGTCATGGTGTGAGTCCTTCTGCCTTTCTGCGGGCCTGAAGGACTGTCCCGCTGTCCTCACCGAGGAGTCCTCTGAGTGATTTCAGAATAAGTTTTCCTCCTAGGCAGAAACGTTTGGTGTTTTTTTCCCCAATCTTTCCACATCTTGGAATTGAGAGCCAGCAGACTTAAGCAGATTTAAAGTGAAAAAAATGACCTTCAAGGGTCACCTAACCCACTGGTTGTAAGATGAGACGTCCCAGACCCAGAGTGGGGCGGTCATTTGCTTGTGTTCACACAGCTGGTCAGCGACACAGCTGGTCGTTGACACAGCTGGCAGCTCCAGTCCCCTGGACCTCGATCCTGATACTCTGTTGACTGTCACTCTGACACCAGAGATAGATTTGCTGGTTTTATTGGATAGCTGGAAAGAATATTTAGTTTCAGGTTTTAAAAGTGTTAGGATGACTCACATCTGGCTTTTTTGGCACTGTTACTGTTTTTTTCTCACAGGGCTCTCAGCAATCGTGAGACCTTCCAGTATGAGACAGAGCACCAAAGGCATTTTCACTGCTGGTAAGAATTGTTAAAAATCCACACTTAACGTACGTGCTGGATTGAGCAGCCTCAGTGCTCCTGGTTAAAATGTAAAGCTTTATCTGTATCCCGCAAGTACTTGCAGAATGCTGAATTTTGATGGTCATAACCTAGGACACGGCAGTAACATATAGACAGGCAGATGGCGCTGTAATCCAGAGTCTGAGGTGCTGCTGGGAGGATTTGCTGCCCCTCTGTGTTTTCCCAGTTACTCCTTATGTGCAGATTTCCCCTTGCGTTTTTATATCTGTGGGAGTTACACATGATATTGTTGCAAAAACAGCAGTACCTTGCCCTCCCCGCCGGCCAGTGTTCCTCTCCAGAGACAACCACTGCTGACTCTCCTGGTGGGTTATTTTTGTTTTCACTGCTGTTTCTCTGGATAATGAGCTTATATTGCTGCTTCTCTCCTTTTAATTTTAGGCATCATCTGTGGACTTCTCACTCTAGCAGATTAGAATTCAACTGCCCCCACCAACGCGCACACACACACCCCCGCACCCATCCCTCTGTGTTCCAAATATGGTTGTGCCGTAGCTTTAGTGAAGCCAATCTTGAGTTTCCATTGTCTGACTGTGTTACTGTGATTCATAGCTGAGCCATGTGATACACTTTTCCTTGCCTTCACAGCTTTCTTTTCCCACAGAGGCTGTCGTCACCTGTCTCATGTGAGGAACCCTGTTTCCTGTATCTGGTGTCTTTGATTTTTGTGGCGCACAGCCTCATTTTGGTGAAGCGCACCATCCGGGAACTTCGTGGGCAAGGGGGCAGAGGAGGCCGATTTGGAGCCCATGTGTGGCCAAGTGTATCTTTAGTCACCTCATGCCTGACTGAGGCTCAGGCTGGAGATGGTTAGAAATAGTTGTCCTTTAGAATTTTGATACCGTTGCTTCCATTATCTCCTCACTTCTAGGAAGTTCTGATTCTTAATCCTTTGTGTATGTTCTTTGTGGAAGGCTTTTAGGTCTTCTTTTAACCCCAGGGCTCTGAAGTTTCTCAGTGGTGTGTTTCGATGTGAGTCTGTTTTTATCTGTTACACTGAATACTCATTACCCTTCAGTTTGGAAACTCAGAGTATAAGAATATAGGAAAAATTTATTGTATTCGTTCTTCCCATCTGTTTTCTCTCTTCTCTTTCTGGAACACCTTTTATTCAAACATTGGACCTCCTAGACTGGTCCTTTGGTTTTCTTTCTTTCGTGTCCTCTTTGTCCTTTTTTTTTTTTTTTTTTTTTTGCGGTACGCGGGCCTCTCACTGTGGTGGCCTCTCCCATTGCGGAGCACAGGCTCCAGACGCACAGGCTCAGCGGCCATGGCCCACGGGCCCAGCCGCTCCGCAGCGTGTGGGATCTTCCCGGACTGGGGCACGAACCCATGTCCCCTGCATCGGCAGGCGGACTCTCAACCACTGCGCCACCAGGGAAGCCCCATCTCTTTGTCCTTTTGTTTTGCTTTCTCCACTTGAGTTTCCATTGAGTTGTTTTATTTTTGTTATTTTAATTTCTAGGAGCTCTTCTCTTTTTTTGTTCTCTGAATATTCCTTTTTTTTTTAAATTTAAAACATCCTGTTCTTGTGTTATGGGCTTAAACATTTGAACATATCTTTGGATATTGCCAAGTTGCCAAAGTGGTTTATCATTTTATCATCCCACTAGGGGTAAACGAAAGTTCTTGTTTCTCCCCATTCTTTCCAACACTTGGTATTGTCTGATGACGGACCTTTCCAGTTCAGTCTCTCTTTATGCAGCTGTCTACTGAGCATCCCTTATGTGCTCGCCACGCAGGATACAGGGTGAACCCTGTACCATCCTGCCTTCAGAGGCTTCATCATCTAGAAGGGGAGACAGACACGTAAATAGAAGTTTGCGTTACTAGGGATAAATGGCATAGAGGGAACCTGAAGAAGGGAGTGGTCTTTCAGCCTGATTCTGATCCCTGGCTTGAGATTGCCAGGGAGCTGCACGATCACACCTCTTAACGCCTCGCTTCGGTTGCCTGGGGACACAGCCAAATGTCGCCCTCCTGAATCTTTGGAAAGATTCAGCCCGTCCACAAAGGTTTAGTAGCACGTGTGCGAGACCTGCTCAGCTGAAGATTGTCCTACCACTCGGGGTGCATAGCTTTGCATTTCCAATTAAGATATTTATTTAATCTGTTTTCTTGCTGAGTTATCCTGGCAAGGCTGAAGATGAGGTGCTTTTGTTTGCTTGGGTGGCTCAGGCTATTAATCTGTGTTTTGCATGATTGCAACTCCCTTACCATAATCCTTGGGTGAGGCTGGATGCTTTGGGTTTTTCTTTTTTTGGCTTCCTGTGCTATAAGCAACTACTAGATTTATTGATTTTTTTTTTTTTTAGTTGTGATAGTGGTGGTGTTATGGGGTTAAAAAATCATTTTCTTGTAGAAATACATACTAACATATTTACAGATGAAATGACAGAATGTCTGAGAATTGCTTCAAAAGAAAACATGTTGGAGGGAAGTGGGTAAGGGTGGGGATGACTCGAGATTGGCTATGAGTTGATATATTGTCGAAGCTGGTGAACATACATGGGAACATAATATGCCATTCTTTTATAAGCTTGAATTCATCTCTAATAAAAGGTTTTTAAAAATCCACCCTCATCATCTCTATTTTTTTTTTTTTTGGCTGCATTGGGTCTTTGTTGCTGTGCATGGGCTTTCTCGAATTGTGGCGAGCAGGGGCTACTCTTCGTTGCAGTGCGCGGGCTTCTCAATGCGGTGGCTTCACCTGTTGCGGAGCACGGGCTCTAGGCATGCGGGCTTCAGTAGTTGTGGCGTGCGGGCTCAGTAGTTGTGGTGCACGGGCTTCCTTGCTCCACGGCACGTGGAATCTTCCTGGACCAGGGCTCAAACCCATGTCCCCTGCATTGGCAGGCAGATTCTTAACCACTGTGCCACCAGGGAAGTTCCATCCACCCTCATCATCTCTTGACACGTCAACCTGAAATGGATCTTTGGTCCTCTTTCCTCTTGTTCTTCCTGGTTGCCAGCAGAGGGCAGTGGGTATCATCTCATGGAACCCGCAGCCCAGATTTCCTTGTGGCGGTGGAGTGCCCAGTGCTGCCTCCTCTGAGTGCTCACTAATTTTCTCCCTTCCCCTCTAAAGATGTCTCACTGGATTGTGGAACCAGAGGGACAGAATGTCTGCAGCCTGCTCTGAGGTTGCAGGAATTGTGGAAGGTGATGAGCGTTCCTTCAGATTTCGCTGGGTTTGCTTACCCTGTGCTCTGGCTTCTCTGGTTTATGGTGGTTGAGGGCTGTGATGAAGGTGGCCCAGGCCAAGGGCAGGGGTTTGTGAGCCTCAGAGATTAGGGTTCGAACTCCAGCTTAACTACTGTGACTTGGGTAAGTTACCTAATTTTTCTTAGTTTTAATTTCATAGGGATAATTATGCCTGCCTCACTGGGTTGTGAAAATTATATCTTAAGACATATAAGAGCACCAGCACTGTGCCTGGTCTTTCCTCTTTGGTATCATTACCTAAAAGCTTCCTGCCGTCTCTTTAGAACATGCCTCCTTGCATTTTCCTATTCAACTAGCAGTAGCCCCGTTACTAGGTCTCCAGCTGGAGTAAACTAGCAACCGTAGACCCTGAGTGGCTGGTTTACTCTTTCTCTGTCCTCTAACTTCACAGCAAGCGTCAGAACCTCTCTCCTCTTGTGCGCTGCTCTTTAGAAGTCCTCTGGATGTGGCCATAATTGCTGTTGTTCTGCCTGGCTTGTGCTGGGTGCATCTTCCTGAAATCTCCCAAGTTCTGCCTCTGGTCAGGTTTTCAGCCAGCTGATGTATCACCTGCAGAGTGAGAAAATCCCAGGTTATTTGGTTGCACTTTTCCTCCTTTGTAGCCCTTATCACTCCTCCCCTCTGCAACCAGCCACTCGTAGTGGGGGTAAAAAGGAAGGGTCTCCTTAGCTAGTGAATAACTTTTATATTCAAATATTGTTAAATTCAGAGAGAGCGAAGCTAAGATGGTGATAAGAAGGCCTTGGCTCAGTTGTAGTTCACGTCTTCGCTCTGTAACCTTGGTATGTTAACAGCCCTTCTTCCTTGAAATGGAGGGGATCCTAATACCCAACTCGTGGCATGTTGTGAGTGTCCAGTATGTACCCAGTACCTAGTAGGTGCTTTATAAACTTGAGTGAGTCTAGATCTAAGTATCAGTCTCTTCCTGGAAGAGATGGAAGCCAGGCTCTATGTCAGCCCAAAGGGTTGCCCTTTCTGATGAACTGTGTTGGGTGACACGGCAGGTGTCCTCATGTGGTCTGACACTCTGTCTGTGTTAGTTCCCTGAAATTCCCCTACCATCAGATATACCCATGTTCCAAGGTGAGTACAGAACTACTTCCAAAACCAAACACTGTTTTTCCCTTTAGCCTGGGAGTTGGTTATTGGCAAGATAATACTGACTTCTTAGACTGTGCTGTTAATGGAGCAGCTGGTTTTTATCAGGGTCTCGGGGCAGCAGCTGCAGACAGGCAGCTCGGGAGAGCAGGAGACTGTTTAGCCTCCTGGTCCTTGCCTGCGCCGCCCTGCAGGGCAGCAGCACACCGCATCACAGCTCAGCCCGGCCAAGCAAACATCATGTTCTGATCAGCCACAGCCATTCATGTGTCTAACCTGAATGAGTAGAGAGGAGTGGAACTCTTTGCATCTTTGCGGGACGGCGGGGGGGAGCTTGGGGAGAAATGGGTCAGGGGCTTAGCAGTTAGACTGAGAAGCAAGCAGGAGCCAGACAGGGGAAGGCCTGTAAAAGCCTGAAGGGGAATCCAGAGTTTCACTGAGGGGAGAGGGAAGCCGCTGAAGGACTGTCGAAAGACTGCTGTAGCGAGAGGATAGAGAGCAGCTTGGAGGGAGGTGACGCTGTTGCTTGGGAAACTGATCGGCTGCGGCTGCAGCCCGCCAGGTGAGGAGGCCTGGCCGCCCTGACTCAGGGTTTTGCAGGAGAGGCAGAGGAG